CCCTACTCAGTACAAATGCTTCTGACAGATAAAACCTCCATCCTGAATCGATGGTCTGAACATTTCCAAACTCTCTTCAGTGCCAATCGTGTAGTCTAAGATTGAGCACATTACATAAGAACCAGTGAAAAACCAATTGGATGTAGCTCCTACTACGGGAGAGCAGGTGAAAGTAGGTGAAAACTGGCAAGGCAGCTGGGGTTGATGGAATCCCACCTGCAGTCTGGAAGCATGGAGGCCAAGCACTCCATGCTAAATTTCACAAGCCAGCTGTGCACTGCTGGAAAAAAAGCGAACTACCACCAGATCTCCGTGATGCAGTCATCATCACCCTGTACAAGAAGAAAGGAGAAAAGTCAGACTGCTCAAACTATCGAGGTATAACTCTGCTCTCCACTGCTGGAAAAATCCTTTCAAGAATACTTTTGAACAGATTAATACCTGCTATCTCAGAAGAGCTCTTACCTGAAAGCCAATGTGGTTTCAGAGCCAACAGGAGTACCACAGACATGATATTCGTTCTCAGACAACTGCAAGAAAAAGGGAACAGAACAAAGGACTCTATATAACTTTCATTGACCTCACCAAAGCTTTTGACACTGTGAGCAGAAAAGGCCTGTGGTAGATCTTGGAACAATTAGGATGTCCCCCCAAGTTCCTCAAGATGATTATTCTGTTACACGAGGATCGGCGCGGCCAAGTCAGATATGCCAATGCACTCTCTGAGCCCTTCCCAATAACCAATGGTGTGAAACAAGGTTGCATTCTCGCACCAGCTCTATTCACAATCTTCTTCAGCATGGTGCTCCAAAGGGCCACGGCAGACCTCGATGAAGAAAACGGCATTTACATCTGATATCATACTGATGGAAACCTATTCAACCTAAGGCATCTGAAGGCCCACGCTAAGATCCTAAATCACCTTGTCCGTGAGCTGCTTTTTGCTGACGATGCCGCCCTTGTTGCTCCTACAGAAGCAGCACTGCAGTGCTTAACATCCTGCTTTGCAGAGGCTGCTGAGCTTTTTGGGCTGGAAGTCAGATTGAAGAAGACAGAAGTTCTCTACCAACCTGCACCTCAGGAAGCCTTCCATCATCCCCACATCACCATAGGCAAATCAGAGCTTAAGTCAGTCCAAAGTTGAACTATCTAGGAAGCATCATTTCCTCGGACGGTAAGATTGACAATGAGATAGACAACAGGTTAGCAAAGGCATACAGTGCTTTCGGAGAACTTCATAAAAGAGTCTGGTGCAATAAACGCCTGAAGAGAGGTACCAAGATTAGTGTCTATAGAGCCATTGTACTGTCTACTCTTTTATATGGGTCTGATTCATGAGTCATCTACCACCACCACCTGCGACTTCTCAATCGCTTCCATCAGTGCTGCCTCCATACAATCCTAAACACCCACTGGACTGATTATGTGGCTAATGTGGCTGTCCTTGAATGGGCAGGGGTCACCAGTATTGAGGTCATGCTGCTGAGAATGCAACTGCACTGAGCAGGGCACTTCTCCAGGATGGAAGATCACCAGCTCTCTAAGATTGTGCTCTATGGTGAACTCGCCACCGGCTGCTGCAAGAGAGGTGCCCTAAAGAGGAGATGCAAGGAGTCCCTGAAACAATACCTCAGCTTTGGCCGTATTGACTACCAAGAGTGGCCCACTCTGGCCTTGAATCAAGAGACACGGAGATGCACCATCCATAATGCTGCTGCTTCCTTTGAGAACACACACAGAATCAGTCTTGAAGAGAAAAGACAACGCAGAAAGAACCATGCCTTGCCAATACTGCCTAAGCAGACCTTCTGCTGTGCCTTTTGCAACCGGACTTGCCTTTCCCGCATTGGTCTTTTTAGCTATCAGCGCACTTGCAGCAAACATGGGTAAAGCCTTTCCCATATTTTCATTCATGAAGCTTAGCCATAATGATGATTTCCCACTAACAGAATGCTACCATGATCACTAGAGATCAATCATAGAATCATGGAATTATTATGGTTGGAAAAGACCTTGGAGATCATTGAGTTCCACCCTAAGTCCCTCAACACCATGCCTGTTAAACCCCGTCCCTAAATGCCTCATCTACACATTTCTTGAACACTGTCAGGGATGGTGACTCCATCACTTCCCTGGGCAGCCTGTTCCAATGTTTCACCATTCTTTCTGCGTAGAAGTTCTTCCTAATGTCTAACCTGAACCTGACATGGTTTGAGGCCATTTTCTCTTGTCCTGTCAGTGGTTATTCTGGAAAAGAGATTGACCCCTGCCTCACTACAACCTCCTTTCAGGTAGTTGCAGAGAGCAACTGAGTTCTCCCGAGGACGCTACCCTGAGCCTCCTTTTCTGCAGACTAAATAACCCCAGCTCCCTCAGCTGTTCCTCCTAAGGTCTGTGCTCCAGCCCCTCCGCCATCTTCGCTGCCCTTCTTTGGACATGCTCCAGCACCTCCAGGTCTTTCCTGTAGCCAGGGGCCCAAAACTGCAAATTTGTCTGCAAATTTGCTGAGGGCGCACTCCATACCCTCATCCAGATTGTTGACAAAGATATTAAGGAGGACAGGCCCCAACACTGACCACTGGGAAACACCACCCATGATTGGTCACCAGATGGATTTAACTCCATTCACCACCACTCTCTGGGCCTGGCCATCCAGCCAATTCTTCACCCAGCAAAGAGTATGTCTGCCTAAGCCATGAGCTGCCAGTTTCTGCAGGTGAAGGCAGTGGGAGGCCGTGTCAAAGGCCTTTCTGAAGTGCATGTAGACCATGTCCACAGCCTTCCCCTCATCCACTAGGCGAGTCACCTGGTCGTAGAAGGTGCTCACACTGGTGAGTCAGGACCTGCCATTCATGAACCCATGTTAGCTGGGCCTGATCCCCTAGTTGTCTCACACATGCTGTGTAATCACCTTCAAGATGATCTGCTCCATAACTTTTCCTGATACCAAGGTGAGGCTGACAGGTCTGCAGTTCCCTGGATCCTTCATCTGACCGTTCTTGTAGATGAGTGCCCTATTGACCAGGCTCCAGTCATCTGGGACCTCCTGTGTTGACTTGCAAAGCAGCTTGGCGAGCACTTCCGCCAGCTCCCTCAGAATCCTCGTGTGAATCTCATCTGGCACCATAGGCTTGTATGTATCCAAGTAGAGTAGCAAGTCATGACTGCTTCCTCCTGAATTATGAGGGGTTTCTTCCGCTCTCCATAGATACCTTCCAGCTCAGGGGGTCAAGTACCTTGAGGATAACTGATCTGGAAAGTTAGAAATCTGGAAAGATGGGGACAGGATGAGTCCTGCCAACAGTGGGACATGGAAATGGGGTCTGAGCTGGGGTCTGCGCTGGGGTCTGAGCTACAGCTCAGGCTACAGCTACATGGAGCTACAGCTGCCTTGGGGTCGCATGCCTGGGGTGCTGAGCAGGGACATGTGGGCTTTGGATGTGGACTGAAGCCCGATGAGGACTGTGGGACATGGAGGGGGATGAGAGAAGCGGGGCCTGGGGAACAGCCTCATTTGCATCTTTTGGAGCATTGCTCCAAAAACAACCAGTCACTTCAGATGGCAAAAGTGAAGTTGTCCCTTGACAGAGGAGCAGCACCCAGATTGCCCAGGCACTGGGCAGTTTCTGGAAAGCTTGGCTGTTCCCAGAAGGGGAAGGCAGGAGGCAGCAGGACCCACCCCCACCGGGCACTGACAGAGCAGGGAGCTGCTCTGGGTCCCTGCTCCACAGTCACAGCTGCTGCTCTCGAGCAGGACTGACTGCTGCAGCAATTCTTGTAAACCTGCTGTCCAAACTCTATACAAAGCCAAAGCCCCATCCCAAAGGCAATGAGCAGTACATCCTGTTCCTTTCTCACGGAAACAGAAGTAGAAATAGGAATAGCAACAGAAACAGAAAGCAGCTGCTTTATGGGAAGTCACAGGTTTGAGTGTGCAGCGCTGTCACCCAGGCTCGACTGTGGGCGTTCCGGCGAGGCGGTGAGGGCCAGGCTGAGCTATAAAGGGACGGCAGCTCCGCCATCCTGCAGCGTGAGATGAGCCGCCTGAGATGAGCAGCCGCCGCCGTCTCCTCTCCGCTGTCCTCGGAGCTGCATTGGTTGGAGCTGCCGTGGGAAGCCAGGTGGGAGTGGGAACATGTGTGGGAGCCCCCACTCCGGGGTGGGACACGCGTGGGAGTCCTGCTCCAAGGGGGTGGGACACGAGCCATCTGCAGGGGCAGCCCTGCTTCAGGATGGGATGCGCGTGGGAACCCTGCTTCAGGGGAGCGGGTCATGAGCCCTCTCCAGGGGCAGTGCAGCTCCGGGGTGAAATGGGACATGAGCCAGCCCTGGTGGGACATGCGTGGGAACCCTGTTCCAGGGAGGATGGGTCATGAGCAACCCCAGAGGCACCGCAGCTCTGAGTAGAACACGAGTGGGAGCTCTGCTGGGTGGGGGAGGAGAGGAATGGGGACGTGCGCCATCCCCAGGGGTAGCTCGGGGCGGGGGGAGCCCCTGCTTCAGGACCCATGCGCAGGGAGATCCCTGCCCCACGGAATCTGGGGGATTCCCTGAGGCTCTGTCCAGGGCAGAGGGCTCTCCCCAGAGCCCCAGCACACCTGCAAAGCGCGGCATGAGTTGCCCACAGCAAGGCTCTCTCCCGCCGGGCGCTCCCTCTCTAAACTGCTCCTGCCTGTCTGGGGCTCTGTCTGGGGCTCCTGCCTTTAGAGCTTTTTTTTTTTTTTTTCCTTATCCTTTTAGTTCTATTTGCTTTAACTATTTTTTGTCTCTGATGATGTTTCTGAGATTGTGATGGCTTTATAAATCAGTTACCTTCAAGAGAAGTGCCTGAATAGAAGGCATAGTGGGCTCATGCCTCCCGCTCGCATCCTCACCTCTGTCAGCCTCCCTAATCTCCCGAGAGCAGCTACTACTGCTGCCAAAACCCTGACTTGTTTTTTCATTTGTTTTTAAAGCTACTTTGCGAGCCAGCTGAGACCCTTAGAGAGGAAAAGGCCAACATGAAGGAAGAAAAAGAAGCAAACATCAAGAGGTGGCCAGGCAGCATGAAGAACCAGCCCATGAGAAGCAGCAAAGTAACTTTGGTGCCTGCCCCACAGCTGAAGTCATTGGGGAAGCTCACTGGGGATGAGCAAGGAGTGATGCATATCACTCGTAAGAGAGAAGCAGAAATAAGTTGTAGTGAGGTCAAATAGTGTCCAGACAAGTTCAGATGCAAGTAGGCAGTGGCGAGTTCCACTCAGATATTTGCTGTGTGGAGGACAGGGTCAGCTGAAAGTGCCAGGAAGGGCCTGCCTGAGGACTCCCTCACTTTCCAAGCTCCTCCTGAGAGGAGTCTGGAGGCAGCTGGACCCGATCCTGGTCCTAGATTCAGTCAGTGGTTCCTATTCGTGGGGATGGTGAATCATAGAGAGAACTTAACAAAGTTTCCCAAGAGTTAGCAAAATTTTAGATGCTCTCAGGTGCTTACCCAGGATCTGCCACGAGCAAGGAACTTCTCAGGAGATGCAAGGAACCTCTCAGGTCAGGAGTGAGTCCGAGGGGTCCTTAGAGGGTCTCTGCTGCCCAGGAGAGTGCTCTGTGGCTGGGCAGCAGTGCTCCATGGGTCTGGGGGGCAGCAGGCAAGGGCCGTCTCCCTGGTGCTGCGTAGGAGCCAGCCCCGGGGGACCACACTGCTTTCCTCAACAGTGCAACCTGGCCGGGTGGTGGAAGAATGATCTGGGCTCCAAGATGCAGGTGTTCAACGTGGACAACAAGGGCGACTTCTCCGGCATGTACCACACTGCTGTCTCAAGCACTCAGAAGCCAATCAAGCCTTCGCCCCTCCGTGGGTCCCAGCACTTGGATGGGGACGATAAGTGCACGTTTGGCTTCGTCGTCAACTGGAAGAGTTTTTCTGGTATGTAGGGGCAGCAGCTCTGGGTGGACAAGGCAGGTCCTGTTGCTTGGCCTCCCTTCTCCACTCTGGGAGCATCTGTCTGTCTGCTGAGCACCTTGCAGAGAGCATGACACATCCCGAGACACTCCTTGTCGGGACAAACCCCGTGGGAGCTGATGGCTGCTCAATCTCCGCAGACTCCACGGCTGTCTTTGTGGGCCAGTGCTTCACGGATGACAAGGAGCGGGAGGTCTTGCAGACAGCCTGGCTCCTGCGCGAGAAGGTCGATAACCTGGACAACGACTGGAAGGCCACCAGGTGAGCAGCGGCATCCCTGCCCCTAGGGGTGTTTGCCTATCTGCTGGGTGGACACTAATAGGGTCTGTCATGCACCTGCTTCCCTGCAGGAGCGGACACAATGTCTTCACTCGGGTGAACCCAGACGAAGAAGGATAAGCCTCTCCGACAGCACCTCTGCCAGCCTAGGAAAGGTGCTGTGACACAGGTCTCAGTCCTACCTGCCGTGAAGGATGGTGCAACCCTCTGCTTGTCACCTCACTTTTCTGCTTGTCACTTCTCACTCTTGTAACTTAGAATTCCAGGCCCAGGGAAACTGATGGGCTGTGTGCTGATGCCACCAGGGACTCAGCAGGACCTCTGCTCAAGCTGCTTTGAGGTTCTTCAGCAAGAAACTCTTCCAAACCAGGAGAATCAGAGTCAGGACAGGAACAGCCTGTGTGCCCCACAGGGCTATGGGACTTGGCTGTCAGCTGGGGCACCTGCTGTACTCAGAACAAAGGCTTTTGCTCAGCAGCTTGGTGCCTCTGAGCTTTGTATGTCGAAGGCAGCTCTCTGACATGGGGCCTCATAACATATCTGGAGCTTATGTCAGCTCTCACCTGTCTGAAAAAATCATGAGAGTTGAGTTTTTGCTCTGATAAGCTCCTCACAAGGAACTCAGGAGCTGCCTCTTCACAGTCCGTGTTTTCCTTCTCATGGAGCCTTGTGTGGACTGCGCCACACCATGAGCCCCAACACCTACCATCACTGCCTCTGCACGTGAGAGCCCCTACAGACAGGCAATGTGGGTGTCTTCCCAGTAATAATACCTTTTGGTGCTTCCACAGTCATCTCCAAAACAGCCCTATGAGCAAACCCTAGATGATCTACCTGGCATAGGGGTCCCTCTCTTGTCAGTGTTGGGCATCCCCTGGCCGGTCCCCCAGCACCCAGGCTGTGGGCAAGCCCCTGCACTTGCCACCCCCATCCTCACAGGGCTCAGACAAAGCATCTGTCTAAAGCTGTGTGTCTGCTGGTACTGCACTGGTGTACCCAATTGCCTGCAGCTTGTGCTCTCCCAACCAGGATAGAGCTGCGCTTTGGTCTCTGCTCTGAAGCTGTTTTCATCTTTGGGAAAAGAGTCTCGGAAAAGGGGAATAAAATTAAATAAATAAATTAAAAATTAAAATTAAGTAAAAAAAATTAAAGTCTTATCTTTGAACTCAGTGTGGTGCATTTTGTAGATGTATGCTGGGAAGGCGAGGGGAGCAGAATGACCTGCATTGCCAGCTGCCAAGGACGGACGGGCCCACGTGGGAGACAGAAACAGGGAAGGTCCAAGGGAGCAGGGACCCTCTATTTGTGCACCCTCACATTCTGCTTTCCCGTGCCAGATACTCCTTCAGCCCCAAGAAATTCTTAGGTTATTTTTCAGTAGAGGTTTGTCACTAGGACAAAGTGCTTCCTGTTCAGGACATTGTGTTAGGCTCCAGCTAATGCCCTGCCTGGCTGCGTCAAGTTCCCTCCCTTAGTAGTTCTGGGTTAGCCCTCTGCAATGGAGGGGGGACCCTCCACCCCTGCTCTGGCCTCTCCTTCTTCCGCTTGGCCCTGGCTGCTTGGTCGTCTAGTTCTGCTGTTCGTCAGCCTACTCCGGCCACAACAGCTCTGTGCAGGGACGGGGCGTCACAGGGAGAACCCTGCGTGCAGGGAGCAGGTGCTGGCCAAGCTGGGTCAGACCCAGAGCCCCGCGCTGGGTCCTCTGCTCCCAGTGAGCACAGGGGCCGTGCGGTGCTGTGCACTGGTGAACATGGCAGGTCCAGCCCCGAAACTGCCTGACGCAGTCCTTGTCATTTACTGGAAATGGGCAGTGCAGGCAGGAACACCTCGCTGGAGGAACAAGCGCTGTGCAGAGTGACTGGCCTGCCCAGCCACCCCCTCCCTCCCTGCCACCGGTGCTGATTTCCAGGAAAGCCGAGTCTGAAGTCAAGGCATTTCCTCAAGCTCCCATCCCCGAGCGCTGCTGTGCCCGGGGCGCTGCTGTCCCCAGGATGCTGCTGTCCCCAAGGAGCCGGCAGGTTCTCACCAAGCTTTCCAGCAGCCCATGGTGCCGTGTGACCCGGCTTGCCGTGCTTCCTGGCACCTGGGTCCTTGGCAAAGTTTTAGTAATAGCACCAGTGGCTTTAGCAAGTTTTTCCATTTGTTTGGTGTGCCTTACTGGGGGTTTGCATATTTTTTGCTCTTTGTTTTTCGTCTTTCAGAAGCCTCTCCTGATTCTTAAGCAATGTTATTTTTTCCACATTGCCTCCCTTCTGTCTGCAAAATTGAGCAGCTTTTCTGGGTCTCGTGCAGCATTTCTGGAGAGTCTGTCCTCTCACAGTTTCTCAGGAGGGAGAACAATTATGCTGCCCCCAGCCCATGGTGTCCTCAAATCTGCAGCTGCTCTGCTTGAAGTCCGTTTCCAATAAGCCTCCGCATGTGCCCGTGTTTTGAGGTAGCATTTAGTCCAGGCTTTACTGGGACTAGAAATGCGGGGAGCAGAAGGGTGCAGGGCCAGCTCAGGGGTGCCCCACATCGCTCTGTGGCCAATGCTGCCTGCAGGCGACTGCCGCCTGGGCTGTGCATCTTCTCCTGGCTGTGTATCAGCACCAAGGAGCAAGGCAGGGAGCTGACATGGGAATTTGCATGTCTGAAAGCCCATGAGGGCACCCAACACAGCTTCAATGCACCCAGCCCTGCCGGTCGCCAGCAGATTTCGGAGTGGGGGTGACAAGACGTGGTACTGCCGGGGACACACTGGGCATTAGTGAGTGCATGTGGCTGAGGCTTCTTCCTTGTAGGTGTTTCGCTTCTTTAGCATGAAATTCGATGGGTTGTTTTGGTACTGAGCCATGAGAGCTGCTTGCAGAACTTTGCAAGAACTCTAGTTTCTCCCCTGCCAAACACCTCACCTGCCATCCATCCATCTTGTGTCCATTGGCCTAGCATCCCCTGAGCTCCGCTGCAGACCCTCTTGTGGCATGAAATCCAGCCCACGGGATAAAAATCACATCGTCTTGGCCACCGTTGTTCTACTCACTGTGAACCTTCAGGGAGCGGGAGATGGAGGAGGCAGGAGGCACCTGACAGAAATGCACCACATACTGCTGCTAGGGTGTCATACAGACAATCACGCAGAGATCGTTTGTTAATCATCATCATCATCACCACCATACTTTATCTGGGGCTTCTTGGCATAGATAGAGATCCTCTTGGCATAGCAGGATGCTCATGTAGAGTCTCAAATCTCTCAAAAAAGGCGCTGGTTCCAGACAGTGACAGGAATCCCTGTTGCAAGAGTCCTTTCTCCCTGTGGCATCACTGGGATCAAGCAAAATGCCCCAAACCACTGGTGTGAACAGTCCCAGAGTCCTGCTGGCCACGCTCCTCAGTGACCGCTCTAGCACGTGCATGAGTCATTTTTCCAGTTATCTCAACTATATAGAAAACTTATCTTAAATATCCTCTCCACATAGAGAAGAGTGTCCGTTATCTGATAGCAAGTGCCTTACCTAGGTACAGTCTGATCACGTCCACAGCACGAGCTCTGGAGGGGAGGGGCAGATTCTCCAGTCAGGCAGTTAACTCTCATACTCAAAGCCCATGAATTGAACCACAAAAGCAGGAGGAGTGTCTGAAATTATGTCCTGTGGATTCCTGTAACCATGAGACAAACATCTAACCATGATAATCCAGATAAATCACCTGTTTCAGTGTCAGTGACGCAGTGTGCAGTGCCTCAGGATTCAATGTCAGTCCCATCCATGTCTCAGAAGGGCAGACACATAGCTGAGAACTTCCTGGGTGACTCAGGGAATCTGTGGCTAGTTCCTCTGTGTTTGAGCAGAGCCACAGCCCCAATATGTGGCCGATACGTAAAGAAAACTTGATACTCATTTTGGTCACCTGTTCATAACTGAAGTCCTATAGCTCTTGCCACACGGGCCATGTCCGTGTCCTTTTCATTCCTGACAGCCTCACCAGACCGGATGGGCACATCCTACTTGGGAGCTGTCCGCACTAAAGCCGCTGCCAAAACCTGCAGTAGGGAGGCAGCCTTGCTCTCCTCCCCTGCCCTCTCCTCAAGCCGGGCCCTTTCTGCAGCCTTCATGGGCCGGGAGCTCCTCCAGGGTCATGAGTGACCCTCTGCCAGCCCCTTGGCCCTACTATCCCCTGGAGAATGCAAGCCACTGAGCCCTGATTTGGGAAGAAACTGTTGGAAAGAACTTTTCTTTTCTTTTCTTTTCTTTTCTTTTCTTTTCTTTTCTTTTCTTTTCTTTTCTTTTCTTTTCTTTTCTTTTCTTCTCTTTTCTTCTCTTTTCTTCTCTTTTCTCTTTTCTTTTCTTCTCTTTTCTTCTCTTCTCTTCTCTTCTCTTCTCTTCTCTTCTCTTCTCTTCTCTTTTCTTTTCTTTTCTTTTCTTTTCTTTTCTTTTCAAGGGTTTTCTACTCAAGGAGGTGAAAACCTCATGGATCGGAAAACCCACGGAGGGTTTTTTTTTTTCCCCAAGAAAAGGGTGTTTAATCCAAAGAGGAAAGACAGCCCAGTGCAGCATGAGCACAGGAGGAAAGCAGAGCCTAGCCCTCCGGGAGTCCTCTCCCTGCTGCTCCCCTGCAGCTGCGTGTGGCAGACACACAGGGGATGGAGCCAGCAGCCCAACCTCGCCCAGCAGAGCCCCACCAACCGCGCCAGGCAGCACTTGCACCCACTCCGTGCCGCCCTCTTCCCCGCAGGGCTGTGAAACCCCTTGGCGAGCGGGGACATCCATGGGGCTCTCATTAGGCAGGACATCCCCCCTGGGCAGGAGATGCAAGTGTCTTGTCAGACTTCCCCTTTCACTTTCCTTGTTTGTTTGCTCAAGGCCGTTCTGGGAAAGTCAGCAAGATGGAGGGGTGAGATAAGAGCCGATTGGCACTAACTCCTTGGAGCATGTGAAAACAATCAACACCATAGGCCCCATCTCCAGGCGTATATAAGGCCAACACATGCGCTCCCCAGGCAGCACAGCCCAGCAGTTGCAGCAGTTTGGCAGCAAGCACCCACACTCCAGCAGGATGGACAGACTCAGCATCGCGTTCATCCTCACCCTGGCGGTAGCATCCATCAGCGCTGATGAGAAGAGCAAGGTAAAGTGGAGCCGGGTGCGTGGCTCGTGCTGCGCGGCACCCCACAGGGCTCCTCTTCCCACGTTTTGTCCCTGTCCTGGCTCTGCTGACACCTCCTTTGCAGTGTGTCCTGACAGGATTTTGGAGCAACAACCTGGGCTCCAACATGACCATCAATTTTGTGAATGACAAAGGCGAGTTCTCTGGCTTGTATCACACTGCCGTGACAGCATCGAACAACGAAATCAAGATTTCTCCACTGCAGGGATCCCAGCATCTCAAGAACAAGGAGAACCAGCCCACCTTTGGTTTCACTGTCAACTGGAGTTTTTCAGGTGCTTATCCCTTCCCCAGGCTCCCTGTGGTGTCCCCAGCAATAGCTCCTTGCCCTCCCTTGTGATGTCCCCAGCACTCCCTTGTCCCCAAACCGGGAGCTGCCCATGTGTTGGCACCTCCCGCCCCCTGGTGTGTGTCCAGGACAGGTCCAGCCTGAGAAGAGTAGGGGATAAAGCCTGACCTGGGTGCGTCTGGGCTTGTCACCCCCAAAACCTGCAAATCCCAAATCCACCAGGTCCCCTGTCCCTGGTTCCAGTTGGAGAGGGAACAATCACCCAAGTGTCACCACAAGACACAGAGGGGCTCTCAGTTCCAAGCGGTCCTGCTATGAGATATACTGTTATGACCTGGGACAAAACCATCCACATTGTTTGCAGGTGCTTCCTTTATGAGATGATGAGACTCCTGCAAGAGGCTGCTCTTGAACCTAGCTGGTCATGGTAGCCTTTTTCACTGGGGTGAAACCTCCTAAGCACAAAGAAACACCCAATTCAGGAGCTGAGAATACCCATAGAAAGCTCTGCATTCCCAGGGTCCTGAGTGCACCAGTCATCCCCTTCTTATCCTCCTAATCCTCTCCCCACTGCATAGAGACACTCCGTTTCCTTTCCCAGACATGAACAGCATGAGGGACCTCTATTCGACCGAATGGTGCTGTCTCCCCAAGCTCCTGTCCTCAGCACTCACCCCACCTCCTGTCCCTTCCCTGCAGATTCCACCACCGTCTTCACAGGACAGTGCTTCGTGGATGATGATGGGAAGGAAATTCTGAGGACCACATGGCTCCTGAGAGACGAGGTTGGCAACCTCAAGGAGGACTGGAAAGCCACCAGGTGAGGTTTTGGCAGAGCAGAGCCCATGACTCCTTTAGAGCACTTGGAGGGTGCTTTGCTGGTTGCTAATTGCTGTGCTCAGGATGGGCAGTATTGGTGGTCACCTCCTGTGCTGCATGGGGGTCAGAGCAAAAAGTCCCTCCTGGTCATGATGCACCAAGGTGTGAGCTCTCTGTTTCCTTGCAGTATTGGCAGTGACGTGTTCAGCCGGTCCCGGTGATGGGACACACAACCACCACAGAGGATTTGTCTGTGCCCTACCTCCGCTATGAATTTTTAAAACCTCTGCCCACCTCTCCATCCTCTTGGCTCTGCATCTCCCATGCAGAGGAGCGGAGCTGAGCTGCTCCTCCCTCCATGACCTGCAGAATTGCTCCATTCACAGTAAAGTTTCAGGGCTGCCAAGCTGAAAGTGTCTTGTCTTGTCATTGCTCCCAGACTTTGGCACAAAGCCAGTTTGGGGCTGCCTGGTTGTTTGCGGGAGGGTGGAGAGAAACCTGCCACATCTATGGTGATGCTGATATGGTGACCCTGATGCTGAGCGAGGCAGCTTCAGGAGGTGGCTGCAGCAAGCCAAGATGTGGGGAGCGAATGCCTCAGCTTGGAGCAGACCTTCCCAGAAGCTGCTCATCTCTGCCAGAGGAAAAGGCATCAGTAACTTTTGCGAAGTCCACTAACCATCACCCAGTGTGGGTCTGCATGGTCTAGTTCCCATGTTAACTTCAGCACAGTACCAGACGGGCCCATCAGCACTTACAGCAGGGATTAACTGAGGAGTGTTCAAGAGCTGGAGAAGAGTTGCAATCTGCCACTGCTTCCAGAACCAAGAAAAGCCCAACAGCTGAGAAAAGCAGCATAAACCTCTAACAGAGAAGGCAATTATCATTAGGACAAAATCACAGGGAGAGAGGTGCATTTTTGCATCTGGGGAGGACAGCTGATGGGGCCGTGCATCCCAGCATCCTTGCATCAGGGCAGTGGGTGGTGGCAGTGGGATGGTGGCAGCGGTGTGAATGCTCCATGCAGCCCTTGATGGTTTCAGTGCAAGGAGCAGGGCTGGCAGCACCATGTCCCAAGGCCCCACAGCCCCCC